CGCCGACGCTTGCAGACGCACCTTTGAACACACGTTACCTCTTCCTGAAACTGGCGCCCACACATGCCGAACCGAACCACTCCAAATTCCCGGGGTTCCCACTCTCTCACGGAGTACCAGGAATCAATCTCGCTAGACATAAGGAATCCCTGGTTGCAGCATTGTCACTGGGTATCGCCTCTTTCCGCGCTTATGGCTTCCATGGTTTCAGCTGGCGACACCCCGCAACCGACTGGTGATGTTCAAAACATTCATCCTATCCACGGTTACATATGGGCTGAACATTATTGCCTGGCATCCGCCTATATGGAAGGATGCGTTGGACCCCCTATTCGAGCGCTTTAACTCAGCACTAATCCAAGCAGCAGCCATCATCACGGGCACTAAATTCTCTCGGTTTCCCAAACATCAAACAAACTTACTTCACTTTTGCGGCCTGCTCCCCGCGCGACCATTCGCGGACTACCTCGGAAGTTGCCTGGGAGTACAACTCGACTCAATGGCAAGCACAAATCTACTTACCCCTCTGACGCAATCCGCCTGGGCCCACGATAAACCATCACTGCGCTTCCCATACAGTATCTATGCTCACCTGAAAACTGTACACAAAACCACGGGCGGGCGTACACCCGACCTTGTAGCCCTCCGCCAACGCTGTGACGACATCAGGAAGAACTCAACAAAACGTTGGTCCAACAAGGAGATCGCGGCAATGGCCCGGCGCCAATACTACTACCAACTGGTTATGGGTAAACCGCCAACCTCAAACCGAGACACAACCAGACACGACAACTTCAATCGCTGCTTCGAGTCTACACCAATCCGGCTCTGTGCTATGATTGTAACGAATACGTACATATTCACATTGCTAGACTACCGCACCGACGGCTGTCTCTGCCCTGTCTGCCCCGATAGCCACAAGTTCACTACCAGCCACTATACCTGCATCCAACAACTGATTCGACGCATCCTGGTAGGCCCGAAACTGCCGCCCATTGGCCCTGACCTCCCTCAGGAATTACAGGAGTGCCACGACTTCCAAGGTATCTGGACCCTCCACGAACACCTTGGATCTTTTCTCCAGCATGCTGAAGAACCACCGTACCCTCACCCGTCCCCGACACATCAACAGATGTTGCCTATACCCCGGCTAATCACGCTGTTGAAGTACTACTTCCAAATATCGGTTCAAACCAAATCATCGCGCTTGTTGGTTCCGACTATGATACTTCCGATTCAGGCCAGCCAACACATACCGAATTCATCCGTAGTCTGGTGCGGCATTGGCTTACCCCCATCCTCGCTTCAGAGGTGGGTACTCTACTTAGTATGTCAGCAAGCGAATATATGGAACATTCGATAGCATCAGTGTTTTGTCAACACCGGCCCGAATTGACTCAGCACATATTTTCCATTGTCGACTCACTTGGCCCAAGCTTCAAACGGGAATTCAATGACCACTTCTTCCCATCAATCTTTCCTGAACCACTACAGCGACTATGAGAGCCATACCATATATTCATACATTGTATCTTACATACTTGCCATTTTTGAAATAAATAATATTATCCCTACTCGTGAAAACAGTAATACTCTGAGGGATTGTGAAGCTGAGACATTGCCTATATATAATCCTCTCAGTACTGTTTCCGCCGAAGGGATTTTATTTAGTGTTTCGTTGTCGCTCTATTCTGGGGCGAATCCGAGAGACTCATAAAATCCTATCTTTAGAAAAAAGAAATAAAAATAAAAATACTCTTGACGTCTTTAGTTATTGTCTTAACCAATAACTTGCCACTATCAAGAATTACCGACTTAGCCTTCATCAGACTGGCACATCTGGTTGGCTTATTGGAGGATCAACTAGGTAACGTTAATAGTCCCTAGAAACCTATATTCGGTTGAGCCATCTCGCTACCGAAGTATTCAGTTATAAATAAAGTTGGAAAGTAAATAAAGCTCTATTGAAAGAATTAGACCAACTCTTTTATGTTTGGTATTTTACTGAGGCCTTTTAATGGCCTCATCCAAATATCTGATATGTTAAATGGAAAAGGTTTAATTAATAAAACCATTAAAAACCATTCTAGGAAACTTAAGTTCCTCGTGCTATTAAGAGCACATTTAGGGGACTTAAGTTCCTCGTACTATTAAGAGGACATTTAGGAAATTTAAGATCCTTGTACTATTAAGAGTACGTTTATAATTTGCGTACTGCTTAAGAGTACATTTATTCATGGAGTCTAATGTGAAGGCCTGGCTTATTACACTATGTGACTAAACTTTCTGATCTGCTTACCAACAGTGCAGAAAATTCTACGAGCTTACTTACTAACGAAGAACAACCTTTGGCTATTACCTTACCAAGTAATAAACATAAGGCGCCTACATCGGAAATGGTTACTGGACCAAATACTAAACGACATAGAATACAACATGAGTCTTGAACTCGTACATCTAGGCACATAATTACTCGATAAGCCATGACGGAAACCGTATTACTTTGGGTTTCGCTTTACGAACTAGATCGTACCTTCACGTACGTCCGTAGTCCTAAAAGCTACTGGGGGCTATGTAGAACTATGGCCTCCGGTTTAAATGAGATAACACATTGGTTTTTATTTGTATTTAAAATAATTTAATACAAGTTATTTTTCAAATATTTCCAAAGTGTTCTAAAGTCACTTTGACGGCTCCAATAGCCTGGGTATTTGGTATGACTCATTTACTTGGAACTATTTGAGACGATAGTAGATGTAGGATATTATAAACTCAATTTTATAATCTGTGAACTACTACTTCAGGTTTTGGTCTTCCCGCCAATCTCCAAAATCTAATAAGTCTTTTTCTTCTTTTAACTTTTCTTCAGATGGAACTTTATCTATATTAGCTAATGTATTAACTTGACTTACGTTCTTACAAGTCTATCTACAAATTAGACATGTGGTCATGAACACTTAGTACTTCTAGTAAAAATTATTCAATAAAGAATAGCTAGAGGTACGTTCCGTGTGATCGAGGATATTAAGGCTATTACCAAGAGGCAGTCCTGATCTTTCTTACACAAGCTACCACTGCTAAATTCCAACTGACTTAGATTGTATCTTAGTCTATATAACATAGTTTAAAACAAAGAAATAACCATCGAAGTTTACAGACGCTGTCGGACAAGAATGGAGAGGCCAGGTATCGTCGGCGTTTACGATGTTAGAGAGGGCCTATCAATCAGAAGAGACTATAATTCCGTAGCTGTATCAGAAGACTGTCATGTATACTGCCAAATACAGAAAATAGACTTTATTGAATGTAAAATAGTTAATGTGGTCATGATACTTGCCCGAGGTACCACAATCAAGGCCATATATAAATCCATTAGTTTTCACCTCCGAGATAAGGACGGTAGCAAGCCGCTGAAACTTATTGACCGCTTGATATAACGCGCTACACTACTGAACTACCATTGTATGAGTCCCTGTGGCGCAAGGGTGGTTCCACCTTTTGGGAGATCATCGCAGATTGTAGGGTCAACAATACTGTAAACCAAAAGAGAGAATACCTAGACTGATAGTCGGAAGAGTTTTTTGCATGGTTGACAGCAATCGCTTTTAATGATTCTTAAATGTAGTGCCAGAGAGTCGCAGACAGAGACACTTGATCTCATGTTCATAATTATGAACAGAGTTAGTACCAAGTGCTTTAGTACTTCTGTTCTCTGTACAATCTCGTTATAACATGAGAAGCAATAATGACAATAGCAAGTAAAGTATTTATGGTGGCACACATTGGAAGAGACTACAATCGTAGTCAATTTCGAATTGAACGGTCGTCGTGCGTGCTTTATTCTGAGACCTTTTTTTTTTGATACAGTTGAATACACGATGATGAGTCACTTGGAACAGAGTCCGACCAGTTTGGTAATAATAGAGCTTTCAGGAAACTCTATATGGATAATACTCTATAGGGGGGTTGATCTTCCTTTCAGGTTTGTGGGAAGATTATTGTACTGATTGGGAAATCATAACTTAAAAGTTGATTTCGAATCTTTTTGCTTGCAGATCATTGCCACGATTTAGGAAACGGATACATCACATAACAAAATTTTATCTTAATATAAAAATTTCCGCACATCAGATAATCATCTCCCCTATGATTTCGTGCCGAAGTTCTATCACGGTGTTATAAAGTTCATATCGATTCGATGGGCACGTATATGTATGAGAAAATATTGTAAATCATTGAGGTTCCTTTTGACGACATATATGCTTGTTTGTAGAATTTACCACCTATCGCATCATGTGAAAGGGTATATGACTAGTTTTTCTCACACCTACCAGCTGGCACTCATTGTACCTCACACCTACTATGTACCAAGTGTTCGTTAAGGTGTGTGCAGTATGTACTTTGCAAACGAGTTCCTCATACATATTTACAGACACTGTATCTACCATTAAATTTAAAATATTGACATTCACAACAGTAGAATGCAATGGTTCGAGATTCGTATCTTCGCAATAAATATAAAGTATAATGGTTCGAGATTCGTATCTTATAAAATCAAAGTATTTTCGCTACAGGCCACACGGATTCACCCCAGAAAATTCTTGCCCTCTATGCAGTAGAGGAAGTGTGAGTCTGGGTCCTCTGGGAGTCTGGGACTTGGAGTCTGGGACTTGGAGTCTGGGACTTAGAGTCTGGGACTTGGAGTCTAGGACTCGGAATCTGGGACTCGGAATCTGGGACTTGGAGTCTAAACTCTGGTACCCGTTGTTCCGTTCGTCCGCTTTCAGTCTTTATGGACCTACTGCTACTCAAGAGTCAGAGAGAGAGAGAGAGAGCGAGTATTTTTTTAGAGACCAAATTATTGAAGTGTATGAAATAAAGATCCTAATTTTGATGATAGAAAGATAGCAAAGTTGTAATTTACCCTTGTGCTGCCTGTCTCTGTTTATCAAGGCCAAAAAATGTATAAAATGTATATAACCACAGCGGCAAGATGCACATTGTAAAAATTTTACTTTCTCACACCTACATACAGCACGCGGACTAAGTACCGTTCACAGCATTTGGACACCATGAATCCTCAGTCCCAAGGTTCGCTGCTGCTGAAGAGTCAATTGAGAAGTATGTCTACCTCGATCCAGATTGTGTGTTGACTATTTGGTGCAGACCTGCTTTCGACTTTTATTTCGTGTAATTGTTGTGCAAATATCATGTTCCGGAATATATCACGATGTTTTCATGTGCCGAGGTAATTAACTTATACATATGGTGAAATGCAACAGAGTGATTTGTCTACAGCGTCAATTGGGAACTTATCGATGAGTTGCGATCTATGACCTAGGACAGAATTTGTACTCCACTACGAGTTTATTATTTGACGAAAGTCTTCGTTGTGTCGAATTATGCAGCACTATTTGAGGTTATTTATCATTTGGATTCATTCTTGATTGCTTCAGAGTGGAGTAAAGTATCGCATGCACACGGCTAAGTACATTGTGGCGGCGAGCTGTGTGCTCATCAAAGAACACCACTGGATCTAGGTTATGCAGGTGCATAACTTTGTACCCCTCTGAATTGTTAGCCAGTAGTACAGCTATCTACGACTGACAACTATTCAAATATGTTCCTCTGTTGAGTAAGTGGATTTCTAAGTTGGGATAACGCTATGAACAAGATATGTCTATCGTGTACTTGTTTATTGTTTGTGAGACATTATTTCAGTCCGTTTACGCGCGCATTTGCGGGAAAAGTATCTTGTATATCTGCTTAGCGCCGAGTCACACTTCAGATTAGCGCTCTGACTAGCGAAATCTATCACATGTTTGTGTTTCTGTCGTGTTCACATACTTTTGCTCGATATTGCCGATTAGGTTTGACCAAGAACCCGGTTGATGGGTTCTCCGCTGGCCTTGTAGATGATGAAGATATATACAAGTGGGAGATAATGGTGATGGGCCCACCAGACACGCTATAGTAAGTGGTGTACTATTCTATTTGGAACGTTTTTCACAAGCATGGCAGTAATTTTAATTGCCACTACATGTAGCTTGAGACGCTGAGAACATCTGTGTTTAAGAAAACGGCCTGGAGAGCTCCTCGAGTACGTCGGTTCGCATAGTTTGCTGCTGTTGTCCATTCCGCCTATTCGGCAACTCAGACAGGCAATATATGGCTTGAGGCTAAAGTAATTTATCTATCTTATTTGAAAAGTTATGATTCCTCGTTGCTGTTGTTTGTATGTGTTTAAGTGAGTGCCGTCCTTGTTGCCATTGTTTTGAGTCATATATCGGCTGATTCGTACGCAAGGACACAATGGGAGTTGGCGGGCTGTGTATTGTATACATTCTTATACACAACATATACAGGTGCAATTGTTAACTGCTTTGCTTATGATTCTCATTTTATACTATTGTCTTATCGCTTTTTATCCAGTGAGGGAGGATTTTTCAAATGTCATATGACTTTCCCAAAAGAATACCCTCTAAGACCACCCAAATTAAAATTCGTCTCTGATGTCTGGCATCCAAATGGTAAGGTTTTCATTATATACTGACTGTTGAGATTATTGTTTAGAGCACTAAAACTGATCTTGGGTCGTGTATAATATCTCGAGCCGTGGTCGTTTCCAATCTAAAGTATCAGCTGGTAAGGCGTATTACCATTCGCACAAAACAAGTCCAGACTAAACATAGTCCTACATATTGACTGATCAGTGCATGAAGATGGCGAGGTGTGCATTTCTATACTTCACGAACCCGGAGAAGACAAGTGGGGATATGAGAAAGCTTCAGAACGATGGTTGCCTATCCATACTGTGGAGACAATCATGATCTCTGTCATATCCATGCTAAGTGACCCCAACGACGAGTCGCCTGCAAATATAGATGCTGCGGTAGGGATAATTTGGGTTGTGGCAAGGTTTAAATATCATGTTTCCGTCTGCTTATTGCTGTGTGAAAGTCTGCAACAGAGCTTGGTTATTCTATTTTTTTCTATCGTGTGGCATCTTATGTGGCTATCGTTGTTGTCGAGATGTATCAGTTCCGCAATTTTGACTCCCTTGTCCGAAATTGTCTTGAAAGAATTGCATTCTACTCGGAAGCACAGAAACTCATTCGCTTTTTCCAATCACGTAACCATACAGAAAGAGTGGCGTACCCAACCGGATGTATTCAAGAAGAAGGTTCAGCGGTGCGTGCGAAGGAGCCAAGAGGCCGCTTTCGATTAGATAGTAAGGCGCTGTCCTTCTAGAGCAGCGTTATGGTACCTAAAGGGTACAAAAATATAGGGCGCCAGGTGGCATGGTTGAGACGGATGAGCGATGCTGTAGAAAACATCCGCACATACTCACTGTTGATATCAAAATACCAGGCGTGCACACAAGCGAAAGCCTACAGGTTAGGCGAGAAGAAACCACTTCCAAATGCACTGGTCGAGGTGTTCTTACGAACACGCGAATGTCAATTCGGTGATCTCGATCGTATCCGGTGGTCTTTTGTGTATACATCAATATATTGATAGTTCGTGGCCATTCATCGGAGACTTAAGTAAAAACTGCGTTATCAGAACGCGCACCTGCTATCGTTCACTGGAACTGTGGTATATGACACCTTTGTTATCGTATTTCAAAGTTCATAGCGATTAAAACACATGCCCGAGAATTTTAATTAAATTAGGATGACTCCCTGAATACTTGCTGCGTCGCATGCCGCACTCCACGAAGTGGCCCTAAAGCAAGCTTTCGGTATATCTCAACTTTCATCTGCAACAGAACGCAGTTAGTTGTTTATCGGGGTTTATCTTCTCCAGTGCATATTTTGACAATAAACCTTTTTAGCTCACATATGTGGATAGTCGGAGCGATGTTTCGCAAACTGCATCTTCTCTCATAAGGGCGACTATTTTAGACAATATCAAGTGTTGCTATCAACTCAGCGGTGGCTCAGTTCACTAGAACAGAGCACCCGCAGCAAGTGCGGAGGGAATGTTACTACTGAGAGTCGGGCTCGGGTTGGTGTACGGCTTTATCTGGATTGGTATGAAGCCAGAGATGTACTGAAGACAATTAGAGGGTACCATTTACAGGAAGTACGCACCTACATACAATACTATTACATATTCAGACTGTCATGTTGTCGGCGTCCGTTACCGTGGAAACGATGGGCAAGTTTTATCTGAATCTTGCAAAATTCTGCGATTCATAATTTTAAGAAAATTACAAAATGTACATACATGGGTACAAAAGTGGAACGATTGCATGCAAATTGCCGATTTGGAGGGCATGAAGATGAAGAAGTGGGGTTTTCGACGCAGAGCGAGATTGCTTTGTCTGCTGCCTATAGGGATATACATCTATGTGTTCTCTACTGATGTCAGAAACGGTCTGAAAGTACTGCAAAATATTATGTGGAGGAGACCGACCGTATTTAACAATATTCCAAGCACACATCTTCGAGACAGTGAAGTCGAGAATGTTAGATATGGCAATCAAAATGTCGTCTCTGTGGGTCGGTTGGGACCCCAGAAGCGACCTAAGATTAGTGGTCCACGTTTTACAGGTCACGTCTTCGAAGAGATATCGGAAACACCAGATGGGTTAGACGAACAGGACGCAGATGACGGTAGGATACTTGAACTCGCATGTGTATGCAGTTGCAAAACTTCAGTCCAACGAAGAACGTGATACCGAGTACATAAGTTTGAAAGTAGATATGATTCTGTTTCATGATTACAATGTGCGAAGGCTCACAAATCGAGATAGAGAGTACACATATATACACACACACGCACGTACACATACACATGCATACGCACCAAACACACACACACACATTTATATATATATATATATATATATAAGCAACAAACAAAAAAGGACAGATACACATACATATATACACACACACACATATATATATATATATATATACAACACACACACATATATATATATATATATATATANACAAATATTATTATATATATATATATATATATTGTGTGTGTGTGTGTGTGTAGTATATATATACTATATATATATATATATATATATATATATATATATATATATATTTGTTAAGTATGTATATATTTTCAGTATATTCCTTGCACATACACATGCTGTGATTCATTTTCATTGCCTCAATATGGCCCTTTGTTTATCCTATTGAGCGGAAAGTAGATGCGGCGCCTAAAACACTCACAGTTGACTTCGACACTTCATTCAATGACGATTTAGTTGCCAATGGTCCATACAATGCCGGCCCAATAAGTGACAAGGCGTTTCCCAATCGACCAAGGCGGAAGTAAGTTGGCACTACCCACTATGGCCTTCACATATAGTTGAAATTTTTGAGAGTTCTGTATTACAGTACCTAGTATATAATACGTACTGTCCGACTAGGTTCTATCGAGCTAACGGATGGGTTTTGCATTGCTTTACCGCATTGAGGCTATTTTTGCCGTATAGCGTTTTTAAAATCTTCAAACTTCGATCAACTTTCCAATTTCTGCATGAAGAGAGACTAATTTAATGTCATTTTTTTCGCATCCGTGTAGTTTCCGCAAAGCTCTACCGCTTTGCTCGTGGAACAAGGCAGGCTTTATGTACCCTGCTCATACGGCAACGCGTAGTCTCTCCCAGCAGAGGTGAGGATTGCTACCACCCTTATTTTATGGAGGACCATTGTGAGCGCAAATTATTGATATTTACTGCGTTAATCACGTACATCTCTTACGTGCTAATACACTGCGTACCTAGGGCACTAAATCATCTATTCCAGTGGCTTTTAGCTGAAGCCCTAAAACATAGGTACATCAAATCGACTGCAGGTGGTGAAAGTTTGCACAGCTTTTGATGCAGCGTTTCCGTCTGAGGGATATTCCTGTTAAGGGAGCAAAGAAGGCAGTCTTTGTCAAAAGTTTGGTCTTAAGTTGCGTTTGCTTGCAAGCAGCTGCTGTTTCCAACAACATGTGCTGATATATTTTGTCAAATAGGTGATGTTTTCCTTCAAATCGCTTCATATAGGCTAGCGCAGCTCTTCAACAGGCTCGACCTGATATACACTCCAAGAGATGGCTCATCCATAGCTGCTGTGCGACATGGTGGTGTTATTCCGGGGGACTATGATATGGTAAGTCTTCAAAAAGGAGTATTTCTTTCTCGCTCAACTGTCGTCACTCTTAGACCATTGGATCTGCGTTTAGCAAAAACCTACATTTTGTTTAAGTCATTCGCACCGTTTACAATACGAATAGGATATTTTGATTGACATGTGGACGAATGAGCACGTATTTAGCCGGCTAGGGTGCTATCACGACCGATATCCAATGGATATGAAGAATACCTGGGTATGGCATGGCTACCTTGATCCGACCACGTGGTTCTGCAGGTGCAATTGGTTTAAAGACTTGGGACCAAGGCAATTACTAAGCGCAAAGGAGACAAATGGAAATAGATTTTCATACTTCCGGTATGAAATCTGATATGTTGCGTGCATAAAAATAAATTGAATCTATTCAAAATCTAGGTATTACCCGCAAGCTCGCTTACATTTATGTCTCATTTCATTTTTGTCCCACCCATCTTCCCCAGAAACAATACACAGTCTGGTGATTGGGAGATTTGTCGCTGCAAAGGAACGAACAAATCGGCTTTACCACCGATTCCCGATGATGTGCCTTTCATACGAACCCTCACCTGTAACATTATGGTAAGTAAGGAAGCTTTCCATTCTGGCTAAGTTAAGCGCACCGTTCATATTATACCACTCATTCACCATCAATTACTTTCCGAACAGCAACGCTACAAGTTGTTGAAGAAACTGTTGAAAGAAACCATCAAGATGCACAGCTTGCCAATGAAGATTGTTGATTCGGAGCCAGAGAACCCCCTTCGACACTTTGCGTATGTTCACCAGTCGATCAGTTACTCCTAAGCGTTTCTTGATTGTCAGTATCTAGACACATGGTTGTTTCCAGTACAGTAGATGTGAAAATGATGGTCTCTGCATTGGCTGGGAACATGCCGCAGCAAGCACAGAAAACGAGTCTGATCTATACAGTATTCCACATGTGCAGGATTCATACGTTTGAGAAGAATCTGCCGCTTAGCTGGCCCAAAAGTTTTGAACCCGAGCAGGGTGTCCATGATTCTTTGATCAAGGTACGATCTAATGCGAGGTTAGCATGCATCTGGCCACTTAATTGAGATCTTATCCGCAGTTGTCATGCTCGAAACTTAAAAAAAATACATCATCTGTTGGCACGCAGACATACAAAGTGGACATAAAGTTGAATTGGTTGCGAGATGTTGACCTAGAAGGGCTACATCAGTACTGTAGGTGTAAGGTATGGGGTTGAATGCATTTTTCTTTGCTTTTATATGAATATGACATTTTCGCCAACTCAGTGGAATACTTAAACTTTTCGTACGCAATGTTTCAGCTTGACCCTAACGTAGAAGGCACTTGCCTGAAGAAACTGCCAGAGAACTTGCAAAGGGACTACGGGGACACCTGGAAGAACCCTCTCTATAGGTAAATATTCGAATTAGTTTCACTTGCCAGTTTTCCAGTCATCACTCCTGCCGCTATCAATAATCCCTCATCAGAATCCTCAAATTGTCAAAAGGTTGACCATAAATATTCATTGCCCACTAATGATGATCTGATCGCTCCAACTTTATTTCGCACAGTTTTGAGCAATTTTATTACTCCAATGGGACGTCGACCGATTTCGACGTTAAAGGTGTATGTCTTGGTGCGGAAACAAGGAAACTGTGGGGTGAAGGACACTGTTCCGGCTGGAATTAGGACGTATGCATCATGGTATATCACCCAATAGTGAAGTTGAATCCACGCCGCAATTTTAGACCTCAACAGCAAATTAGTATTATTATAATTAACGGCAGATAAAGCCCTACTCATAGCATGTATTGCTCGATTTGATATCAGGTATAATGCCAAAAGAATGGAATGTTTGTTGACAAGTGTGTAGGTGGTTCCATCAATTTTGCGCCTGTAAAAGTTAGTGGCCTTTTCATCAAGGTCTGCGGTCGCCAGGCCTTCTAAGAATTTGCAAAGTATTGTATCCGCACCTTAGTGGTACCAGCAGTCGTCAAAACGACCATAACTGGATCTACAATCGATAATAGCGGCGATGTCAAAACCTGAACTCGGAGTCCTACGTATAATGGATCTATTTTAGGATGTGGTGGAAGCGATCTAGTATTTTACCAACCCCACGACAAACGAGATTTGTACACTGTGTCATCCTCACTCGCTGACGGCTTTATTGATTGGCTTCTCTTCCTTCTTAGTATGTCTTTTCCTAGAAGTAGTGATCTTCGTATTTGAACCGCTTTCTGTATTTAGACCGTACTTTTTCGTCTCCATCGATGCTTTTTGTGTATTGTCCCCTGTGGACTCTTTTGTGTCGGCGGTCTTTGTTGAGGGTGATATATCGTTGTCAGCGGTATCGTCCTGAAGCCAAAACACCATGGTATCGAAGATGTGGCTCATCAAAAGCCACGTGGCCACCCATGTATCCGCGCTGACATGGTAACCATGAGTCTGTTCCACATACGAGTGTAGGTGATCATGCACATCCGAGAGATGTTTGGATTCCGAGACACACCCAGTTCTTAACACTTGAGCGTAGGGATTTGTCACTAGGAGATATCCAAGCGAAGCTACCAGGCATGTGACACTCCAGTCAGATGACATGCGATAGCCACGACTGGGAGAAAGTTTTAGAATATGGTAACGGTTCTGACAGTTACCAGAGGCTATGTTTCTCCACATTTGGCAACTTGCATGTTTGTTTGCAACATAGCGCGACGAAAAAAATACAGTTTTTTACCACGTGTTCTTCTGCAGACACAAATTAACATGCATCAATGTAACTGAAGGTACTCAAACAAAGTAAAGGCGCTATAAAAAGAGGTTTTGAACAAGGAAAAGGCTATGAACACCGACATACCGGAGATGAACGTGCCACGACTTTCCATCTGTGTCCAAGCCAAGGGAGTGCATTGCGAACATAGCACTGGTTGTAGTCACGATACCCACGAAGAAAGGATAGAGCAAAGTGTACGCGTGGTAGTCTCGATCGATTGAGCACTTCGACTCTATTGCAGCCAGTGACAAGCACTCATCATCGTTTGCGGCATGCGTTCCGACCTCAAGTGCCATATTGATAGCACCACTTAATGTGTACACGGTCGACACCGTTGACAGCCCCTGCAGATACAGAGTCGTGATTAGACATAATTATGCGGGAACAGTTTTAGAAAGCATGAAAGAGAGAATATACAAGCAACCAACCACACTCACAGATAAGATTCCCCTCCATGGTTGCTCAGCGATAAATTCTCTCAGTGAAGACGACGAGACGAATACTATGTAAACGCAAAGGTATGTTCCCCAAAGATACGAATCGGTAATCCAGGAAGGTGTAGCGCCTACAATAAAAAAATAAGCCGTTCTTAGCTATACTGTTCTTCCCAGATTTTTGTACAAAGCTGGCCGCTCAATACTCGTTCGGGTGTGTAATATCACCAAAGGTCAATATTGGATATGTAATATAACGGCATCAATTCAGTCCCACTTCCTCAATGCGCTTTAGAAGATAGAATCAGAGACCTGCGTGATTGCCAAGCAGTGAGGGGCCCGACTGATTCCTTTCAAGGTGCTGTGATACCAAAAAATTACAACAGACATACCTAAAAGAAGGGCAGAAATCGTTCCACTCCACATGGACACTAACCAGTACTGCTCGAGGTGTAGGAACCGGATTGGTATTTAAAAGTCAGTTCTTGCACAGTTTGACACGAGTATGTCTATTAAGCAAGCTCAACAAATCTACTAAGCAAATTAATAATCACAAGATTGACCATACATTTTAATGCTTGAATGCAATCTACCATTGTTCATCTACCATACCGAAACAAAATCAGCAGCAATCTCGTAAGAATTACCGAAGCCGCCGAATTTCTGCGTGCCCTGGGCAACCGAGAGGCTATGTCCGATTATATAGAGGGTCATCGGCACCTGGAGTGTCACAGTTTATATTAGCACGTTCCCTGTGACGGCGATGGGGACTGCAGTTAATACCTGTCGCAAAACTATTGCAATTTACATAAAAATACCTTATTATCCTCTTGAGACAATGAAAGGTGGTTGAAAACCTGCTGACTATTCGTAAGGACGAGTAGCGCAAAAAAAATTGGCCATAAAGCGATGTAAAAATATAGAAGTATCCGACCAACAGTAGTTTCTCTCGTAAACG